TTGTACAAATATTAGGTTAACATATGATATTTTTTATCTGCCGTCTTTAGCTAAATGATTGAATCGTCCAAGATTTGTTTGTTAGTAAATAATGATTTTTATTCGAACATTTTCTATATTTTGTGTTCAAAATTTTCAATGTCAATAACAGTTAAATAGATTGACATCAGTACAACTTGAAAAATATTGTATGTGAAGTGAAATTCATCAGTATTCATATTCATACAAATATACACTTGGAAAAATATAAGAGAATTTCTAGAAAATAAGCTAAATGGGTTGGTTACAATTTCTCCTTTGTCACTTCAGATTGTGTGATTGAAGTTGATGAAAATTTGAATATTGTATTTTGTTTCTTGAGACCGATTATTTCATCATCAATGGTCAGCGGTACTACTCACCTGGCTATATGCAACCACAGGGTACTCGTTGCCGCAGCGACCATCATCCAGGCGGCGAAGAAAGGCACCGCCGTCGCGAGGATCGTCACTTTCCTGCCGAAGTAGTCGACGATGTTGGCGGCAGCGAGGGCGCCCGTGACGGCGCCGATGAGCGGCATCACCGCCATCCACAACCCCTCTTCGTTGCTAATGCACAGTGTCGAGTTGGTGTTGTTGAGGATTTGGGGCAGCGTCGGCGAGGGCCAGCCATAGTGCATGCCATCGGAGACGATGGCCAGGTTACCTGGAACGACAATTTATTTTTTCTGCATTTTGGGAAACGTCTTTTAGTCTGTCAGGAAAGTTATTGGAATTTTTGATATGAATAATGTTTTTTTACAAGAGAAGCAAAAAAGGGATTTTTTTAGAAACCACGGCGTTTTTGTTAAAATATAGGAGAACGTCTTGTTAACAAAACAACCAAATATCTGAAGATGAAATTAAATCAGCTTGCAGAATTCAATGGGAATTGCGAAATGTTGGTAGGTATGTAAATTCGAATACATCGAAATATGCCAGCCTCGCAAAACGCGTTGACCTCGTAAAACTAGGTAAATTAGCGCATGTAAATAGCATTACATCTGATGGAAACGTATGTAATGACAATCATATAGTACCGTAAACAACGTTTTATTTATTGGAATGGTCGATATGTGAAAGTGTTTTACATTTCGTAGGAGAAACGTTACCCTTTATCTATAGTTCAGGCTGAAACAGGGATATTTCATATTAATTGTTTGTATATGTACCAAAACAATAGTAACTAAATGAGATATCGAAACTCATTTTTATACATTGAACATTGTTATGTAGGTAAATAATTAGCATTCATGATGATAAGCTTCATCTGAATAAAAAAAACCAACACCAGTCTCGCAAAATTATTTTATGTTGATCTCTTTTTACTGTTTTTCAATAGGTATATTTTTGTAAACACTTGAAACAGCTATGTTTTTGTTTGGAATGTTGTGATTTATTTTCGGAAAGCGCACAAAATATTGGCATTTTACTCAGCACGCGTTGTCATTCTTATTTTTCTGAAAAATAATTATAGGTAGGTTAGCAATATTAGACAAACAGCGACAGTTAACACCTAGNTCATTGTAGAGTACTCTTTCCTGAAAGCGTGAAATGGATGAGTTTGGATTTTGATCCTGCATGTTCGACAGTTCAACCGGAAGACTCGCTTCAACTTTTCGTTCCTGCTATGAATTACAAATCAGAAAAGAAATCTGGTGGTTGCTCAGAAGACAACGACACCCCTCCGATGCCTTACTGGCCTGTCCTGCATAGATTCAGTGGGAGGTAAACAATCAGTGTATTTATGATTTATTTGACATATCGCTATTTGAATTTTGTATTTTTAGTTTGACGTGGCCTACGAATTCGATCATCTTGCCTGGTAACGAGGTGATCTTTTCCTTGGAAACCGCTTCGGATTACTTGAAAGATGACCGGATCAGCGCCTATGGATTCAAGTGTCTCGTTCTAGGTTATGAGTGGCCACCTGAAGGGACCACGAGTTTGAATATTGAACTCAAACATCTAGAATCCGAGTTGTCTTTCTTGGGGGGCATGTGCGCTGCGAGTCTTCTGAAAAAGGATATTCTTCTTCCCGTCATTGGTGGTAAGGCTTGAGACATCAGTTATCCTATAAATATTGTCTGAACGTTATTTCCAGAGGTACATGATAAACATGGGTATTCACTTCCTTCAAATCGAAGAATTATTTAAAATGAATTATATATGAAGAGCAAATTATGTATATTATATGTATGTTACAACGATAAAAATAAAATAAAAACAACAATAAAAATTAATTGGCGCTGCGGGGCGACTTCATTGATTCCATAATATCACAAGATTCCAGTGGCGCATTTGCTTTTTCAGCTGCAGGAAAACCCGGAAAAACCTGCAGCACCACATCATCTGAAGATCTTGATCTAACAATGTCCTCTCTCTCATAAAACAAAATTAAACGTTTTCTCTTTTATTTATCAAAGATTGAACATTATAAAGAACATAAATAACGTGTTGAGTTTGTCGCACCAAATCATAGATAGTTTATAAAATAGTCGAGGGCTTTTGTCGTTTGTGGCTTGTTGACCAACATTCGGTAGTAGGTATAGATTGCAATATTTCTCAGAAATTATATTTACACGTGATGTTGATCATTTTTGTGGAACAATATAAAAATAAAAATCTTCATAGAAAATGATACATAAATTCAAGTTTTTAATGTAGAAAGAAAATTAAAGAATACAACTGATGTTTAAATCCTCCAATGTATATTGTTTCGTACATCCCTTCCCATCAAAAAGTTTTTCTAGATGTTTTAAATCTCTTTGAAAAAGTCTCTATTATTTGACCTGCCTGGAGATTGCAATTCTTTGTTTAAATACCGACGTCGATTTCCGTTGAAACTGTGATATTAAAGTGTCATTTCTTCCAATACCTTAAAAAATCTAACTACTTTGTCGTCCTCCACTTCCATGGTGAATATTTTTACTCAAAACTTTGGAAAAATAACAAAACCAATGAAATTAAATGAAGCATCACGATAACATAAGTTTGGTTTCCTTGATGTAGGTACTTAATGAAGTTACTTTTCGGTCTAAAAACACATTAAAATTATTAGAACACTTGCCATAATGTAACATTTCGAAACAAAAATAATAAAACTTCGTTGAAGAGAAGTAAGTACTTTTATACAGATTCAAAATGTGCACAAAAGAAACGGAAAGTTTTCCAAGAAAACACACCGAATTTGCTGACTCCTCATTACTGAAAGCGATTGACTGTATAATAATTACAGTTTGCGGTATCGTCGAAAAAAAAATAGCGAAAACTTACCAGAAGCCGCCGCCAGATACTGGAGAATAGGTCCTGCCGTTGTTTCCTTTGTCCCCATTTCAATTCTTCATCCAAAGTTCGGTGTGCACGAAAAATATTCCGCCGCTAGCCGCGATCAGCTGTTCTGAAATCAAACACAACCGCCTCAGGCTTTATAAATATCGACGTAACGAACAGGTTGGTAATTTTGCGGTTTCGATTGCTTGTCTTGAATATTCAGATCCGTTCTCGGTTGAAGTCACGATCTATCTGGCTGATCGGAGATCGTGATCAAGTCACTCTGTGACGGACGTCGTCAACCCCCTTGGTGTAAAACGAAATACCAATTCGAAGGATTACTCTAATTCCAGCCCTCATCTCGGCCTTTGTTTCTCTCTTTATGAACCCCTCGTTTTGCTAGGGGATTGAAGATCACACATGAAAAAGAGTTTTCGGTGGCATACTGTTTCCTAATAGTGAAAAGTAATAAAAGCTCATTATGCCATAGGTCCATGCCATTTATTATTGATGACTTATAGATCATAAAGAATGTCCAACTGATCTGAAAGAAACTATGAAATATTTTAAAATATTTATTCCCAACAATTTCAAATCTTGTTATTTTTGTGGTATATTTTGAAAAAGCAACGTGTTCTCATTTTATGACCTTCAACTGGTAATAACATAAAAGCTAAAAATTAAAAAGGAAATGAAGAAATCAATGTGAAACTTTTCCAGACTGCAATACAGTCAACACCAGTACGAAATCACTGGCGTTGATTCAAGGACCTTCAAAGAACATCATTTATAACTGATTCAAACATCTGCGAACATTCAACTCTAGAATTACCAAGCAAAAATATTTATTTTTACATTTTTTGTCTATGTTCTATTTTTGTGTAGTTCGTGCAATTTCTACAAATTTTATCGACTCTCGCATGTACATAATTATTTATTTTTCAAAGGTGTTTCGAAGAAGAAAAAACATTTATATTATGCGGACTTGTTAATATTTTGAACGCGACCGCGTTGAAAAAAACATTCCGATAGACGCTCAAAATGTCCAAATAAAACCAAAAACAACAAACACTCACCTAAAAATTCGTGCGTAATGACAATCCTGGGAAAAGATAAACGAAAATAACGGGTACAGTTTATATAGAAACTTCAATTTTCGATAGCAGGATAAATAAAAGGATATTAATAAACGTACATGTGCTTTCTCTGTATACTAATAATATTGATCCGTACCCTCGACCTCCGTCTCGTTTGGCGTCTGAAATCCGTCTGAATAAAATTTCCATCCTGCAGTTGAATCGCAAGCAAGGACAGGATATTATTCGGAAAAAGAGGGATTTGGTGGAAATTTTTAGGAGGGAAATCTATAAAAAATATTGGGACAATTACCAAGTAACATACTTTATGATGAAATATCTACATTGATATTTACTAAACAATATAAAAGAAACTATAGAATGAGTTGAATGGGTAGAAAGTAATTTGTTGAAATTACATTAAAAAAATACAAACCGTTTTGTAATTAACTTATTGACAATGTAAAAAAGAAAAATATAAAATGCACCTATAACGGTACAAGTACGCTGCAGTGGTGATGACTTTTTTCTGAAGAGCCTCTTTGTCAATTTTCCTAAACAATTTAGATGAGATGATAGTTCTAAACGCAATACAGTTTACTGTATGATTTTCTCTATACAATAGCTTTCTGAAGCGTTAATTAACGCCTGAGGAAGCTATGGTATAGCGAAACACGTGTCGCGGTTTTTGTAAAACCCTTTATAGTGAAAATCATACAATAAACGGTATTAATGAGTTTTGATATGGATTTTCAAGTATCGGCCAGTTCTATTCGATTATTGTAATTGAATACGTCTATATTCATAGATTGATGAATTTGTGTTTCAACTGTAGGTGTCTTCCATGCTGACGCAATTCATTACCTCGATGGAAATATACTAGAAACCACTATTGCTTGTTGCAATATTTTGGCATGGTTGTTGCTGGGGCGTATTGGAGCGAGACTTTGCCAAATTCGTCATTCGATTATAAAAATGATTCGATATCACCTTTGCGGTTAGAATCGTTTTGGAATTCCCAAATTTGGGATAATTTCCTGTAAAAATCGAAATTATGCAAAAAAGATTTTTGATCCAATCAATCCAAATTATGAAACCATTCAAACCACCAAAATTCCATATTGATACCGGGAAAGATAAAAAAGTTATGGGGTAAGACTAATTCGGTATTTCACCTGACCCGGTTTTGTATACCTTTTATGGTGAAGTTCGTGAAGTAAACTGTATTAGTAATGTTTATAGTTTCTTCTTCAATTCCGTTGTACAAAATAATACCCATTCTAATGAAAAACATTGAAAAGTGATTCGTTTTAATCATATTTCTGCTTAGCCTTTTGCCAAGTCGAAATAGATGTTGAACTCCGATGTTGGATGTTGCCAAGAACGGTTTTTATTTTTGGCTGGATCCAGTTAGTCTGAGCAATTCATTTGTTCCCATTTGGGGTCACTTCCGTCGCATTTAGGTTTGTTGTTTAGAATGCACTTTTGGCCCGAATGATAAATATAGGCAAGGTGTTCTTTTCTTTCCCGTCCACTTTCAAAATGTTGATCAAAAGACAATGGTAGTCAAATAACAAACACTTCATTGTGAGATTTTCACAGATCAGTTTCCACGCCTGAGGAAGCTATCGTATAGTGAAACGCGTGTTGCGTTTTTGTGAAACTGATTAATAGTGAAAATCTCACAACGAAGTGTTACTTGCATGGATTTTTATGAAGTATCCACCAATTTCCTCACATATCAAACAGAAACTTTTCCGAATGATATATTTTTTGCTAATTTTAATAAACAAGCTTACGTGATACATTGATAGTCAAGTCAGTGACAACAATGTAAATTCTTTTTTCTCATAAGTATAATCTGAAAACACGGTTTTGGCAAATAAATACTCCACTCGATCGTTTCATTAACGGAATTCTGTTTTATGTTTGTGCCAACATTTTGATTAGTTCCAATTATACTGAAGTATTTCTTGTTAATGATATTGAAATGTTTCAATTCCCATCATTATTTTCTATCCTCTGATATAAATAATAATTATGATATATTCTGCATTTTCTTATTATTTCTTGGGAATCGTTTATTTGACAATACAAGTTTTTCAACTAAACAAGAAAAATAATTAAAACATCTTAATTTTCTGTGTAAAATGTATTTTTGTTATGAATACTTTTATAAAAATGTCTTATCTAATATTGAATTTAAAAAAATAAATAGAATTGTCTAATATCACATACCTACCTGAATACTTTCAAATTACATCTAAGGAAAAAACTAAAATCTCAAACAGTTATTCAAGGGAATAGTATTTGTCGAAATAAAGTGCATAAATACTGTTGCGGGACAAAATACCGCATAAGCACCTCCATAAGTTCTAATAAAAATAACCTTCAATGAAATACACCTGATTTCAAAATATTTTTTATCGTTAATTCTTCCATCCACCGTGAATCAGCCTGTATGAGGAGTACTCTTGTTATGACGATGTTTTAAAAATGCAGTAATTTCATCAAATGAAAATTTGGCCACAATCCCGACATTGATTTTTTTTAAACTTTCTTGTACTCACGAAAAAAATACATTGAAAATCTGTCACTCTCTACTTGCAGGTAATTTGCAAATTACGGTATAGTGATTATTTTTACTCTACGTCAGTTACTCTTTCACATCAAAATCAATCGCGCTATTTTTCCTTTGTTCTGTATCAGTCTGTGTTTCGCCTCTGAAATATATTTGAATGTCCTCCAGAGTTTTGCCCTTCGTCTCCGGAACGAATATCACAATCACTATCAGCCCTACTATGCTACAAATCGCGAATCCGAAAAAAGGGACGCTCATTCCGAAAGAGTCTTTCATAATCTGAAAAAATTTTGACACGATGGACGCCAATATGGCGAAGTAGATGTCTGCGAGACCAAACGCGAACGCTTTCACGTTGGCGGGGAACATCTCGCTGATCATCAGCAGAGGAATAGTCTGCAGACCCGCGCTGAACACTATCACGAAAACTATGAGAGCGACGACAGGAACAGCGAAAAAGGCGGACAAGTCCAAATCGGTAGATGTCTTGAGGTAGAAGTAGACGGCCTCGACGAGAAGAGCCAGGAACGTCCCGATACTGGAAGCGATCAGCAGAGGCCTCCTCCCGGCCCTGTCCACAATGCTCGAGGAGAACATCCCGAGCACCAGCTGAACCGAAAAGTAGATGATGGTGGCCACTTCCGAAGAGATCTTGGTGCCGGACTCTTCGAAGATGAGCTGTGTATAGAAGGTTATAGCTGTGGTTCCACTCAACTGCTGCGCTGCCCTGAGAATCAGCATTATGTAGACGGCTTTTCTGTTGCTTTCCACGGTGAACAGATCCAGGAATTTGCCGGTGTTCAACATTTGAGCCTTGATGGCGCAGCCGATGCGGTTGAGCTCCGAATCGACATCTTGCAGTCCCCTGAATGTCTGCAAGCTCTTAGTTGCTTCCGCCTGGTTCCCTCTCATGAGTAGAAAATAAGGGGACTCGGGCATCCATACGAAGGTGAGGAACGAGACGATCGGCAGGATGCTGGACACAAGCGCAGCCACTGTTATGGTTAGGTACGACCCCACGACGTTGATGAGAAGGATGCCGAAGATCCACGTGACCGAAACTGCCGTCCCCAGCAGCCCCCTGATCTTCGCGTCTGCGATCTCTCCGATGTACATGGGTACGGCCGAGAAGACCAAGCCGTCGGCCACGCCCGCAATGAACCTCGACGTGTAGAGCAGTGTCACGGACGTGGAGAAGGCGACCATGATCCAGGAGGCGAAGAACGGGAACGACGACAGCAGGATGGTCCTCTTCCTTCCGAGGACGTCGACCGTTACTGCTACGATGAGAGAGCCGATGATGGCCCCCAGAAGGGGCATCACTGCCATCCAGGAGCCTTCGTCATTGGAGACCGGGATCGTCGAGTTCTCGTGCAGGAGTTTTGGGAGAGAGGGTGACGGCCAACCATAGTGCATGCCGCTCGTTATGATGGTTAAAGTGGCTGCAAAAGAAATTGAATGTCAAAAGGGACGATACAAAAGTTATCATCAATTTTGCGCAAAAAATACATGAGACAGGTATACTGTCAAGTAAAAATCGCCCAGCTAATCCCGATTTTTCAAAACGGTAAAAAATTTGTCTTGAACAACTAAAGCCGACTTATTGAGAAATGTAAAAGATAGAATTGAAATTTCGACGTTTTAGATAACGGTAATACAATAAATGGATATTGTATTAGAAACTCTTTTTGGCTTTCTACTTCTTCATCATGTGATATATACAAAATACGAGAAACTTCTGAAGATTATAATCAACTTTAATACAAACTCTTTACAAAGATGCGTTTCATTCAGATACAAACTGGAATGAAAAATCTAGGTACTTTCAAAATATGAACATTAAATTACATAGAAATCACTTTTTCCTATACAGTTTGTTCTCCAGATATCATCAACAGTATCACTACTATCAAGTCCCCAGGTGAGCCTTTAGAAGTTTGTTACTGAAAGAAAAAACCCATCTCTCAGTATTATGAATGTCGTTCAAGAACACAACCCTCCTTGAGATTTCCCAGTCTTCGAATCAATTTTGAACAGAAATACATTCTTTACAGTGGAAATAACTTATACAACTCAGAGTCAAAGCTATTTGTATACTTGAGGTTTCGTCTACGACAGCGGAATACATTATCGAAGTCTAATGAGGCGACAGACAGATCTTTTTAGATGTCCTCACAGCAGATAATACGTCATTGGTTTGGGTTCCTGCTTTGGGTTCCCGCCATATATAGTTACATACATCCATCCTCACAAACGTTCACATTTATATTAGTATAGATAAATATGAAGCGTTTTTACAGTATGTGCCTATAATTAAATTTTAACTGAATTATTTTTATCTTTTCTGTTCCCACAAAATTAATATTCAACTGATAAGAGTTGTGTAAGTTTTAGGTATTTTACGTGTTCAATTAATATTTTTTGCGATATTCTGTACACACAAGTTCATACTGTAGAATATTCTACACTTAATATTATTAAATATAGACATGAACGTTTGTTTTGAATCACTACAGCTATTGGCGAATACTGTGAGGAAATCCGTTCGATAGTTATTGAGTTTATCACGCTTAGAGAGACAGGCAAAATTACTGAATTTGTTTAATAATATGTAATGATGAATTGTTCATCTTTTGGGATCTAGGAAGCACTCGTCGTTGTACAGCCTTATTTTTTTCAGGTTTGCTTTGAATGGACCGTATCTCTGCTTTGTCGAAGCCGTTCTTCAATACTTTTTTCAGACGGCTTCATTTTGAATTCACATTCACATTTCTCACTAAATTCATTTTCCGATCATACACTGCCACCTGACTCGCACAGTATGTTTCTCCCTCACCTCAGGTTCTATTGTTTCTGCCAAAGTGGCTAAAATTCAACCAATCTTCGAGGATGGTAATGTAACGTATTTCTAATAAGTTGTTTTTGCGTCATTTGTTAATCAATAGCCCTATTATCCTGACGAATGATGTAGAGTTGCATGTTTTTGCTCTGGCAAATAATATAAAACTCATCAGACAAGAATATATGCAAACATGTTCAAAAGGGTGTCGCTTGTGACGCGAATATAGAACTCTCCCAAATGTTATTAATTATTATTAATTGTGGGGAAATTCCATCAGTTTGACGATCGCCCGCAAGCTTTTTCATAGATTTGATATTACACTGGTAGTATTAGAGAAAGTTTACATGAAACTTGGATAATCTTACATTTTACTTTACTCGAGACTGTACAAAATTTATCATTATTATTATTTACAATAGAATTTTTGGATATATACAGAAAATTTGTTTGAATTTTAACTAGACCAAAGTATTTGTATCAAAGTCTGACTATCGACTATTGTTTTGCATTCGAAACAACTTATTTTGAAAAAGCAACGT